CACGTATATGCAGGTATTGCTCGAGCATGCACATGCGAACGGACAACGATCACTATGATCCATGGTCGTCCATGTGTATTGGTCAGCTTCCGCGGTTTATCTTTTTATTTCATCTTTATTTTTTGGTTTGCGATTAGAAAGACTCGAGCTAGATATAAGTTTCAGCGGGCATTGCGCTCGAAGAAAGAAAAGGCTAAAAGCCGAAGAGGCCCGGCAAACTGCCACGAAGAGGGTCACAACAAATGGCTTCTCATCCTCTGGATCATTTGAATGATTCCAGAGCATGGGAGGTCATTCTCGTTACTACTTTTGTCACTATGCTCCGTTAGTATTTGTAGTTGTATTTTTTTTTTCTTCTCCATCATCGTTCATCATCATTTTGGGCAAATCGCGGTTTTTCTTATTAATTTTGCGAAAGATCGATTACGGGTTGAATTAGTGTTGCGAAGAAACGATAATCGTGTTTGCTTTAAAGTTGCGAATTATAATACCGCGATTGTCTTTTACAATTTTGATTTAAATTTTATAGTTGTTTTATGTTATAGATAGTAAAATTTGTCTTGCTTTCTATTATTTTAAATTAAATTATAGAGTCATTGCTTTTAATTAATTTTCGAGTGTTAAAGTATTTGAAGTAACTTTTTGTTCGTACAGTTTTGTATTGTTCATAATTATTTTCATTGAATTTAAAGTTAGTGTTGCGACATTATTTCATCGTGATTTCCAATCATTTTTATTCTTAGTGTTGCGATAATGATTGATCGCGTTTCTTGAAGTAGCGTTGCGTTTACAAAATGCCCAAATTCTTTCACTGGATTCGTGGAAGACTGTTTCTGCTCCTGGATCACCTGATACACCCAGGTACAAGAGCTGTACAGAGGTGGTCATTCACCAGCAATCTCCAGCATGATTGCACTGGACGCGTCGCAATTAGTGTTGCGTATTTCTGTGGATGAGTGCATAGATTAATAGCATTGCGTACTTATTTTCGGGAATTTTAAATATAGCACACTTCGCGTTTGATTTTGAAAATTCTTTATTTCATAATTAGTAGTGCTAGTGAGTTAGTGTTGCGAAACAAGATACGGTTTGTTGCTCGCGTTCATTTCGAATGCAGATTTGACAGTAGCTCTTCTGGTTATTGTATTGAGTAGAAAATGTTTTTTTAGTAGCCCTTCTGGCTACTGTTTTAGATTTTCTTTGTCAGTAATTCTTCTAGTTACTGTGTTAGGTTTTCTTTTTCAGCATCCCTTACTACACTGCGTTCATTACTGAAAATACTGCTAGTTGAAATACAAATCAAAATCTAATTTTAATCGAGTCTTCTTTCATCTAAAATAAATTTTCAATTTTTGATTTATTCAAGTTCAATCTAATCTAATCATTATTCTTACGTTCAATTTACGTAATAATTTCGATTAAAAGAATATTTTAATTCAATTAATAAAGTATAATTATGAAGTAATATCTTAACAACATTTTCATTTTTTTGTATATATAATATATCTTCATTGCAGGCCTTTTTATTTAAATTATAATACTAATCCAGCACATGAGTTTGTTTCAGATACATTAACTTACAGAAAGTATTAGCTACAGAAAATATACAGAGATATATATATATATACACTGAAAAATGGAATACGAATAAAAGAAAGTAACAAATTGTAAAAGGAAAAGATTGTTACAATGAAATCAACAATATTCAATCCAACTGCAAGTAATAGTTATATTTTATAAATTTTACTAATCTTTTTCAGTTTCTTAGATTTCAGATACAAGTTATAAAATCGATCGAAGAAGACTTCATATAATACAACAGATTATGCAATCATCGGAAGAAGATTTATTTTTTAAAAATTATATTTATGTATTTGTATAAATAGAATGAATAAAAATCATTAAATTTTTTTGTAAAAATATTAGGCTATATTAGATTTAATTACGCTATAGATGATCTTAGGTTGGGTATTGTGTTGTTGTCATGTCGTGTTGTGTTGTTTTATGATATTTTTAAATTGCTTATTAGATTTAAGCTTAGCTACAGTTGATATTTGGGTACATAAGACACGTCAGTGTCTAAGTGCATGCATTGTTAAGGATAGTTAATATTAATTTAAGTGGGATAAGTAAAATTTTTTGAGACACATATTTGTTTAAACTTTTATAACTACTGTTATATAGTCGAAGTTGTTTCTCATATAGAATTATATAGTTAGTTTAAGTTTTAGTATAATTTTCAGTACTATTTTCATAGAAAAGATTTTCTTTGTAGCTTCTTTATTGTTTGATTTGCACAATAGTTAAAGCATTGAGCGTTTTGAAAACGTACAGTAAAAGAAATATTTGTTCATAGATTTATTTTAAATTAGTAAATTTTTGTTTGAAAAAGGAGGGTGGATAGAATGGGTCTCCACTCATAGCAGGTGGTGAGAACTGGGCAATCAATATTACTCGATATATAATTACAAATTACATTATTATATAGCTAAACAGTTAATTTTATAACTGATACAGTAATTAATTATATAACAATTAATGTGAGCTGATTAGCTGCGATTTCGAATAGGTGTTTGTATAGATGTAGGTATCCATTAGATGAAAAATAAATAACATGTAGTTTTGATATATGGGTAACTAATTTGTAAGTGTATGGAAAATATTTAATCCGAATTTGTGTGTACATTTTTTATGCAAGTCTAGGATTAATTAATTATTTCTTCTGCAACGATTATGCCTGAAAACGAGAGGGTTGTTCTTTCTCCTTTGTTTTAATCCCTCTTATACCGAGACTTTTGATACAATTTATTCAAGCTGATAGGTTCTTTAATTTCTAGAAGTTCAGAATAATCAACCCTTCGATCGTTTTACTTGATAATTCTCTAAATCACCGTTGTTCAAGCATAGAAAGCTAAAAAATCAATGATTTTTTGCTTGTCAATATTTCAGAACATGGAACATGAAGTCCCATAAAATGTGGTCAATTGCTAACAATTACATATACGTCCGTAGATATGTTAGTTTTCAATTTAATTTTCAATTGATATAGTAGTTTTATTCACAAATATGATAATTTTAGAGATAACAGTTTATATCATATTTTATATTATATTATATTATATTTTATATTATATTTTATATTATATTTATATTATATCTATATTAAAAAAAAAACAAAAAAAGAATTATATTATATCTATTTATATCGTATCTAAATTAAGAAAAAACAAAAAGAGGATCATTAAATATAACGAAGGTTATTTAATAAGTAAAATAATTTTGATTTCAACTTACTGTTAACAAATAATATATTATAAATTTATAAATAATGTTTAAGATAATGTGTTGAATGTATATCAATCTTCCTCGAAAGTAATAATTAGTGAGAACATTTATGAATAAGACAGTCGACAGTTTCATGTTGAAATCATGTTGAGGATGTCGGGAATTATCTATTTGATGACTTTTAATGCAAACAATATACATTTCACTGTCTTAATAATTTAAATAGTTAATCTGTATATTAGTTGTAATTTTATCTCTGCGTGTAAAATACATCGAAGCTAAAACTATGGACGAACAGAGTATTAAACGAAGAGGTTATTACTCGGAAATCGTCACAGGTATGTAATTAACGATCGACTTGAGCTATTCGTAGCAAACAATTAACTCCATTTCCTGAATTTTTAAAAATTCACTTAATCAATGCTTCGCTCTCTATATCTAATATTTCTCTATATCTAATCTTTCTATATCTAGAATTTCTTTAACAATTGGGCCACTGAATGACGAAATCTTTTTCAATCCAAAATTGACGAATCATTTTGTTAAAAAGAGCCAACGTAAAAACATACTACTTTATGCCTTTTGTTTTTTGTACTGAATGAAAGTTACACCTGTAATCTAAAATTACACCTGCATTGATAAAAATTTCTTAGCATTCTTCTTTGAAATTCCTTTTAGAATTTAAACTCGAATGTTTATTTGACATGTAAAAGAAATTTTAATGAAGAATTTTTATCAATCTCTTTGCTTTCTGTTTTACGAGTAAGTTCACTTCGATGAAACTAACTGAATTGGCGTACAGGCACTCGAGAATGTCCTGTTAAACCGGAAGTGGCCCTTCTGACAACTGTACCAAGAAGAACGAAGCTCGCCTGGCAAGTTTCTACCGAGCATCATAGCGCCCATGTCAGACAATTACAGGATCAAGAAACGTATAATTTCCTCGGCGAAGCTAAAAGATGGATGAGCTTTCCGGAAGATCGATCAATTGTGAGTAACAAAAACTGCCAGGGGTGAATTGCGAAGTTCACAATAATGAATTATCGAAGCGAGATAGCACGAAAATAAATCCATTCGATCCTACATTGGTAATGTTTGAATAATGATACGCGTTAAAAAATTGAAATTTCCTTTAAGAAATAAATCTTGAAATGTTTCTCGAAAGATTTATACTATCGTCCACAAGTATTTGGGGACGGCTAAATAAAAAAACTACATTTCAAATGAGACTCTTCAATCTAATTCTGGTCTGTGATTTTATTAATCTTAAACTACGCATGTTGATATTATTCATTCATATTTTATTCAGTCGCAGATCTTAAAAAGATGTCCACTAACATATTAATAAAAACAATAGATAATATTGATTAATGTAAACAAAGATAAAATGGATGGACATTTAAGTGACTTTGAGTGTATCTGTTCTATATTGAGATTTCATAGCGATTGAAATAAGAACATTAACGTATTAATAGATTTGAAAAGTTTCTATAAATTTCACGATATTCGATACAGATAAATATAGAATTTTGGAATTTTAGTTTCAATTTAAAACTCAATTATTGCATGAAATAATAAGTTTACAGTAGACAAATATTCTCCCAATATAAAAGTGGAATGTGTAACAAAAATTGGTTTTTTAATCGAATTGCACCAATTCCCTAAATATTTATGGAAGACAGTGTATGCGAAACAGTTTTCTTTTCGAAAAATCATGAGAGTTATAAGCACCTCACATTTTTATGAAATCATTATTAACACTTTCCATCGAAATAATTTAGTTTCCCGTAAATAAATGGTATTATTTCTAGAAATGAAAGCTGCAACAACGATATAGTGAAACATCTAAAGTGAAAGGATTAATTTTTCCTGAATGCATTTTTTTTTTTTTTTTTATTTAGATTTATGCGTGTTTTTTTATTCTGATTTTTAAAGTTCACAAAACATACACGGTTCATAAAGAAGGTAAATAACTGAACAAATATTTGCAAAACAGTCGTTTCCAGCGGCGACGTTTGTTCCAAAAGTGCAAATGCAACTAAACGTAGAGCCCAAAAATATTCCACGAAACGTCGAAATGGAGAGGCGACGCAGATTATACAAGAATTTGAAAATCGAAAATGCTTTCGAGGAAATGGGTGTTTCACCAAAAGAGATGTTGCCTCCGTCTGCCGTGTTACCATTACTAACGTATGAAGAGATATATAGTTTATTCAGCACGGTGCATTTTCTTCCTCTGGAAATTTTTGACGACGAGGAATACGATTGCCGGTACACGATTTAAAAAATTTTATGCTTTTAGCATTACAGTAGTCATTTTTGTATCTTTATATTTTTATAAAAATATGATTAATTAAGTAAATCCAGTTAGAAGTTTTTAATTTTAAGAACGTTAAAAAAAAAAAAAAAAAAATGAAACAAAATATAATTGCAGAACGGCAGAAGATTGGATAAATCTCGGTGTTATCGATGGAAAGCATTATCCGCTACCAGCCACCGTTTTTGTTCCAAGATTTCGATCCGAGAACGAGATGTTTCCTCTCGAGGATGATCAGTTGAACAACTTGTTCGTTTGGACTAACGCTGCCATTACTCACTACAATCACGAGAGGAAATTGTGGAGCGTACTCACGCTCGATGGTAGAAAACGGAAATTTAAGATACCGAGGATCTATATTCGATTCTTCGCGGAAGATCCTCGGAACTATGTGAAGAGATTGAAGGTGGCCATTGAACATAGACGGACTGCTGAAGCTTCTATAAAGTATTCAGTGACAAATAATTAAAGATTATAACTAGATTGCTGATTTTTATGCAAATTCGTATTTTTATAAATTTAATTAACTTAATAAGGACTAAAGAATAAAAGAATGGATGCGCAAGGAATATGGAGAACTTTCTAATAAAATAAAGAACGTATAATTTTATTTATGTATTTTACGAAAAGTTATTAAAATTGCTAGAAATCAAGATTTTTAAAGGATCATTATCAAAATTATAAAGTTTCTATGAAAAATTACGAATTAGTCGTTTTAATCTTTCTGGTAATTTTCACGTTAAACAAATGAAATCTAAAATCTAGTCCATCTGCTTAATATTATAACAAATATAATTTGTACACTTGGTATATTTTTGTATATTGCGCGTTTTTTTGTAATTTTAAATTTCCTATAAATGCATAAAAATCAGTAATCTAATTATAACAGAACAATTGTTCAGTTCCTCAGAATATAATTAGTGAATACTTTTAATATTATCAAGAATATTTGCGCAGGTACAATTTTTATTTGGACTGTATGCTAATGGAGGGCATGGAAACGTTGAATGAAAAAGAAAAAGAAAATATCATCCGTTTGGTTGGGAATAATTTCAGACTAAAACACAGGCATGTAATACTGGTATGTAAAAGGTTTTTGCAAAGTTTTGTGTGCCAAATATTCTAATAGATATTCAACAGATTTTCCAATAGATTTGAAATTGATAAATTTTTATTGACATCAATCTAATAAAATATGAATAAGTTTTCTATTAATATAACGTTATATAATTTCGTACATATAATTACAAACCATAGACCAACGAGATAATATTATTTAATATTAGAGCTACCAAGTTAGAGCTAACAATCATGTCAGTATTTTGAAACCAATTCGTAATTCATTGTTTGAAACGTAATTCATTGTTTTTCAACAGATTTCATATTTCTATATTCTATTTATTTCGTTTTCGGGAATATTCTATCACTTGTTGTAATCACTTCGGTTTTTAGCTGATGGAAGAAATCTGCTTGGATTATCAACGAACAATGTGCGATCTCATGTGGAGGCAGATGATACAGCGAAATCCAGAAATGTTTAAATTCATCACATGGGTGCCCGATGTTGAGCCCATAAAGGTGCCAGAAAAAAGCAAGATTGATACAGGCATGAAAAACTTTCTGGTAATATCCGTTCTTGATAATAATGTTTCTGTGAAAACTTTATTCTGTCGAGTTGATTTTACGTTTTACATCGAATTTTTAAGCTAAATATATTTCCATGAAAAGATCTGTACGAAGGTTTTTGAATAAAATTAATTATCGTCTTGTATTTCATTAACAATAAGTGGATAAAATTGCATCGAAGATATTACGATAAAATTTTAATATTAAACGTTTCCAAGTATTTTTAATTTAACTTATTGATCGTTTTTTACAATTTCCTCAAAGATCCTCCAAAAATATCTGATACCAAAATTTCTGATTGAACTGTTGAACTTCTGAACTGTTGAATTTTAAATTTTATTCAGTTTTTTTTTTTTTTTTTGGTACCAAATCGAGAAAATAGCTTCGTTTTAAATTGAAAATTTCAATATTGTTGCCTATTAACATTCTTGGAAAACTAATGCATACGTTCAGATATTTTATTTTTATACTATTTACGATATCGATTGAAAATAATGATTAAACGTGGTAATAGATTAATCGTTAATCGATCACAATATTAAATTATAAACTCATAACTAGAAAATTTATATTTTTCCAAT